CAAAATATAACCAGAATTGTAATCTAGATCCTGATTTAAAACCAAAATGAGTCTTGAAATGTTGAGATGCTATGTCAACTATATAAATCAAATTTATATTAAGTTACCTTAATATTTCATATTATAAGATTTAAATTAAAATTTAATAATCTCATTAATTCAAAATTATATTATATAAATTAATATAAAAATAGTTCAAACTTCTTTTAGATATGCAGATCAAATTTCTTTCTTTATCAAAGTTTTCTAAAAATCAATTGTTTCTTATACAATATATTTACAAAGTTACGAAGCATTTTCTTTATATATAGCTATAAAACATTGATTTCAAATCTATTATTTCAAATTTTTCAGTATAAACAGTGTTAAAATTTTAAATTTAAACTGAATTGTAAGTTTGTTTTTTTATTGAATTATAAAAAATGACTTTATAGCTTTTTTTATAAAGACTTAATATTTAAATTTTATAAAATATTACTTTGAATTACAATAAAGTTAGAGTTAGGCATCTATTTTTTATTATATATTTAGCAATCAGTATATACAAATCTTATAAGCATTGATATCAATTGAAGAATTGTACAAAATTTAATTAAAAAAGTAAACCGAAAAATGACAATATGACAAAATAATTAATGAAATAAATCAATACTTGGATATGATGAATTCTGGTTAACTTCAACATATTCTAAATACTATACAAAATATTTCAACTGCAAATAAAGATAATTCACAACTTGTAATTATAAGTAATGATTAACTTAATTGAAAAAATGAAGATAACAATCCCAATTGTTCTAAATTAATTTTTATAATCAAACAATTATCTGAAGATGAATTTTCATCAGTTATATATCTAATTTTAATGATTTGATATCATACTGAATCAAATAAAAGCAAAATTTATTCATCATATTTGCAAAAGAAGTCTTATGAATTTATATTCCAATTACTTTATAAATAACAACCCACATATCAATTATTACAAAAATCTAATGCAAAATTAAAAATTAACTTCAAGAAACTTTATAAACAAAATCAAATCTTAATTAAAAAAATATAATCATTTGGAATTTAAATTATATATCTTTGCAATCAAAAGTCAAATTATATATCAATAATTCATTCATTCTCTCATCAATCTCATTAGAATACTGATCAAATCTTTTTTAAAAAAAAAATCTTTTAGAAAAATAAGTATAAATATACATCTAATACAATTTGGTTGGCAACTAGTATTTTACAAGTTGGTCAAATTTTATTAATTTTAACAGTAGAATATATGCAGTTGATTTATGAATTTCTAATAGGAGAGCTATCACAGAATTGACTAACAATGATAATATTATATATTTGGTATAAAGACATTTCAAAACTTTATATAAATACTCAAATTAATCAACTTACTAATACTTTAGCATATGGAATTATGGTCAATAAGTCAATATGAAATGAAATAAAAAACTTTATTATATACTACTAATTCTGAAATCAAAGTTGTCAAGCACCAATTAATATTATGATTCATCTTCAATATATTTTAAAATGTAATACAGATCTTATTTTAGATACTATAATTAAATATATTAAACATAATAGATTAGAAATTACAAAGTATATCTTGTGGATAACTGACAATACAACTTATATGTCAGGAGAAAAAAAAGGTGTTATGATTCAGTTTTAAAAAAAAACAGGTTTAATTTCAATATATATTGAATATGGGCTTTATATACTTCAGATTATATTTAATTATTTTAAACAAAAAACATTTGGAACATTTTCAAATAATACTAGTTTTTTAAAAAAGTCACATCTTTATAATTTGCTTTACTTGGCATAAAAATTATATAATAGATACAATTCAAGTAATAAGAATAAATCACTCAATATTTATTCTCAAATTATTAAAAATTTTTATATCAGATTGTTAGATTTTTATTATGAACAATATCAATTACAACTTTGTTCTAGATGAGAATATGAACTTTAAACAGCCAAGCAATACCTTAATTATTATACTACTCATATTAAATTTACATAATGGTTCATTAAAAAAATAAAAAATTATCAAATTATTCCCAAATCCTGACTGAATAATCAAAATTAAATATTCAAGTTAAATGCCTAGTAAATTTCACTAAACATTTTTATAAATCTCTTATGCAATTTATAGTAGGTTTCAATTCTATACTACAAGTTTATCAAAACAATCAGCTAGTTATCTTACCTTCTGGTCATTGGATATATAAGATACCAAATAAGGTTTCTGAATAACTCAAATTTCTTAAAAACTTAATAACAACTTTGACATATTTTTTCAGATCAATTATTAGAAGCTGTGGACTTAATATCAAATAAAAAATTTAATACTCTATTTAATAACTTAAAGCTTAGAATTATAACAACTTTAGAATACTTCAAAAAATGGTTTTTATAATAGCTTCATTTGTTATTAACAATATGTTGACTTGGTAAGAACAATACATGATCATTTGTGTCTAATTACTATCATGTGATTCTTCAAAATTCTTGGATTTATCTATCTTCTGACTTAGAATTACATTATGCTCAATATTTAAGAGATGATAAAAATAATAGAATAACAAATAACTTTAGTTTATATAAAAGACTATTATCTGATTATAATTTTTTTAAAAAATTTGAACAATTTTGTATTTGTGAAAATTCTAAAATATATGATTTCCTAAACTTTATAATTTTATTAAAAATCATATTTAATTTATTATTATTCATCAACAGCAAATTGAAGATCTCTTCAACAAGCTAGATTTAAAAACACATACGAATATGTTAAAATTAATAAAAGAATCAAAGCTTTGTTTGTCATTCAGCAAAATTTTAAAAGAAAATTTAATTGATGGATTGAATAAAATATGAAAACAAAAAAATAAAGTCAAAAGATGTCTATTTCAAGAAGCTCAACTACAATTATTTGGGCCAAATATTACGTCAACTCTTTTTAAACAAATACTTTACTAATAAATTAACTTTATATTGATGATGAATAAATATTGTTACAATAAAAATTATAAACTAATATATTATCATTAAATATTAGTAAAAAAATCTTCAATAATCAAATTTATTATAATATTACAAATAATTTTGATTTACATAATTTCCCAATGAAACGTGATCCAGGAAGCACATGGAAGGAGGTGATTGATGTGCACAGTAACAATTAGCGGCTATGCCAATCATCTACCTAATATGGGCTTCCCAGGATTATTGGTCCTATAAGTCTTTTCGATCTGTTAGAAGATATAGGAGCAATAAGAGTTTTGAAAGAAAACGGTAGAAAAAGGGATATACGAGATTTAAGGATTTTAAGTGATAAAGGACGTTAAAGGGATATAAGGGATATAATACGTTTAATACTTTTAGTACCTTAAAGAGCTTATATGTAATATAACAATATATAATAAAGGCTTCGCGCCTTACAAGAACAGTTCAGTTAGTGCTTATCATAAAACCTGTCCCTAAATAATTGCTTGTCTTCGCTGCATTATAATACCTACGATCATAAAATATACCACTCTCCAAATCTAACCGCCTCTTATCGACTAAGCCGTTCGTAGGTTACACGACATATCCCATCGACAAGCGACAGACTCGCCGTTTCGCTTGTGTCACCAGCGGTCGTGTAACCCCATTGTATGCAAAAGAAGCTTCAAGATTCGGAACAAGTCACCCACGATAGAGATGGGCCGCGCGCGGGATGGCCGGGTTTTTTTTTGGATCCCGCGCGGGATTTTTAATGAGATTATTTGGCTTGCATTAGCATATCATCTGGTCTGCATTAAATATCATCCGGCTTGCATTAACATTAGTGGGCCAATTTCTAAGACGGGTAAAATCGCCACGCAAAAAAGTTTCGAACGTCACGTAATAAATATATCGAACACTAAAAATTCATGTAGCTTAACAAAAAAATACAACCAAAAAAATTTAAACGATAAGTAATAAATATTTATTTATTTCGAATAACTCAATAAACGTATTATTTATTATCGCAAGGTTTAAATCGGTGAGAAATGATTTTTTACATGAATTTTTATACTTGTCACGTGATGCCCGAAACTCTTTTGGGTGGCTGTTTACTCCGGTCTGCATTTATGCGTAGAACTTTTTATTTGTTTACTTGATTAAATTTTTTTTACTTACTATTCCTTGTTATAATATATATAACCATTATTAAGTCATTCTTTAACCATTATTATAACATGGGTGTTAATAAACCGATTTGCATCATTTTGAAATGCTAAATCTATTTAAAATATATTATTTTAACAAGAAATTATATTTCTAGTGATTATCTTTATATATATTTTTATACTTCGTGAAAAAATTAAAAAAAACTTTACTATATTCCGCGGGATATTTAAAAAACTGCGATTTGCACATCATTACCTCTAAGCTAGGCTCCACGGCTGCAGGGCAGTGCAAGGCCTGTGCATACATTGAGCATTTTTATGCTATTTCTTTAGCACAATCTTACAATTAGTTACCTGATTCTCTTTTTGCTATTGAAATTTTCATGATAGTTTACATGCATTCACGATCAGTGCATCTACTGTGTCTTTAGTCTGGTTAGGTTATGGTAGTCTGATTTATGTTAGGGTAGAACCTTAAGATGACGAACCTATCCCCATATGTTTCTTCATTAAATAAGTTATAAAATAAAGTCTCTGAACGAGCAATAATAATATAAATTTGGTAGGTTATTACAGTATACATTTTTGAACAAACGCAACAAACATTGAAATGTAGATGTGAATTCTTAAGGAATAATTTCTTATCAAGAGATTTATTATATATAAAAAAAGTCGTTTAGTAAATCAAATTATTTAACTCATTTTTATTCATGCGTCTCATTTAAACAGGAAATATAAAGCATTAAATAAATTTATAAAATACAGAGGCGCCATCCACTTGTAAAAATGATAAAAAAAAAAACTCGAGATTAGATTAATAAATCAAACTCGAGGACTAATTCTAACTTTCAACTCTGTACAGTAAGAAATTAGTTGAGTATGAATTTTCAATGGCTCATGCTCATTCACTAACTCAACATTATAATTTTTATATACTGAAGCCATTGCTAAAAGTAACTCGGTGATTGAAAGATTTCTTCCAGGGCATATACGTTTACCTCCACCCCACGGCATCCAAGCAGCTCTATCGATCTTACTATCATTATTTCGAAGCCACCTATCCGGATTAAAAATTTTAGGATTATCCCAACAGTCAGGGTGAATATGTCCTCCTGCAAAATTTAAATGAAAATCTGTACCAGCTGGCCATTTATATCCAGCAATTTCACAATCAGTAATAGTGTGACGGAATGTAAAAGGTACTGCTGGTATTATACGACTAGCTTCCTTAATTATAGCCTCACAATATTTTAGTTTTTTGAGATCATTGCATGATAAATTAGAAAATGTAGGTACAATAGAATCAATTTCTGCAAGCATTTTTTCTTTTACATCGGGATGTTTACAAAGAAAGTAGGTTATGGAGCAGAACGTGTCAGCAGTCTACAGTAGTAAAAATAAAATTAAATACAAAGTCAATAATCATAAATATTATATATCGTATTAGAAAGAAAAGTAATACTCACAGTATCTGATCCACCTAAAAATATGTCTAATATGGACCCTTTTATAGCTGCATCACTCATAGGCTTAAGATTCTCGCCTTCAACAGTAGTAGTAGTTGTAATTAAGGAAGTAAGCAAATTTGTATTCGTTTTTAATTCTGGGTTTTTACTGATTTCAATTCTTCTCTGTTGAACTATATTGTCCAATTTGTTAAGCAAATAATCGCGGTTTCTTAAATATGCATCTGTTTTGCCTTTGAATATTGGAACGTAATGCCTAACAAAAGGACTAAAGAACGAGAAAAACAAGATACTTTCCAAATATTTTACGAGTGCATTACAAAAGTCGACACCATCTTGAACTAGCGCATGAGAAAGTTCGGCTTTATTAGTACTTAGTGTGTTATAATAGGATGCAATTGAATACGTGCGAGTTCCAGTGGCAAGAACTGAAGTAACATCATTAATAACTGCGTGAAACCATCCTGAAAAATCAGTTTCTAATGTCCAATTATTATTATTGTTATTATTCATTGAAGCATTTTGCTTTCCAAGAGATTGCCAATATCCGTCCATTTCTTCATATACTTTACTTATAGGTATTATAGATGCATCAATAAATTTAGTTGATAATGCTTCATTAAAGAACTTTTTATTACGACTCCAACTTTCTTCGTTTTCGTTGAAGAAAAGTCCATGACGCAGTTCTAATTCATCTGGACCCGGAGCACCTGGAAGCCTCTGAAAATATTGCGGAACATTAAGTTTTTTAATATATTCAGGTCGTGAAAGAATGATATATCTACGATCGAGCATCAATTCACAAATATCACCATATTTTTGTGAACATTCTTCATAAAATTTCTTTACATCACCATAGTTATGACTGTTTCCAATAAATGGTAAAGGGATTGGACCAGGGAGCGGATTGGGACGAGTAAAGTATTTGTAATAAAAATTAAAAATGTAGGTAGAGATGCAAGTAACAAAGAATAAAATGAATAAATCCATAGTATTTGAAGATTTAATGGTTTCGATAATATTTTGAATAGACATCTTTATTTATTTTTCTTTTTGTATGTACTTGTGCGTATGTATGTAAATTAGAATTAAAGATTTAAAGCTCATTTTTATAAGAAATTTTTGGGTACGAAAAAAAAAACAGGAATTACGAGTTTAAAAGGACTGTGTATGTCCGCCATTGAAGTTTGCTATTTTATTCATCAATAATGTTGTGATTGAATTCTTAATGTTAAAATTAGAACTTCTGTTCCAATTTCAAAATTACAATAGAAATTCACGCCACAGAATTACATATTATGTAAGAAAACGAAGTTTATGTACATCAAAAATCTTATCGTTATGGTTAAAAATTTGACGACGATCTACATTCTTCTTTTTTGATGCATCTAGGGTTAGTAATTTATAAAGATATCAAGAATATAGTTTATGCGATATTTATCTAAGGCTGAATTTTACTACGTAATCAGTTCAAATAAGAAATTGTTGAATGGGAAAAATCGGTCCGATAGAAATAGATATATTTGCCACATTTCCTTTTATGATAAATTAAATTCCCAAAATACTATTAAGGTGAATATAAATGGAAAAATCAATCACATAGAAAAAATCAATCATATAGAGTTTTCATGCTAAGCAAATCTATATTCTGCTTCTAAACAAAGTTAATATTCAGAACGTGACGATTTTAGAAGTGGTAGAATCATTAAAATCGGTTCAGTGGATTGTTTGCAATTACACTTTGAAGGTTCGAGAAACGTTTGTTTACATATGTTGATCTGCCGATCACGTAAACAATGCTGCCCGAACTCTGAAACGTAACTGTGAACAATTAATTAAGCCGAATTAGTTGATTTCACCATCGTTAGAATCACCTCTACCTGAAAATATATATGATTACTTAAGAGGATGTTCATTTCCGGCAATGGGACCAATGGAGCTAAATAATAAATTTATACCAGGAACGGAGTACGAAGTACGTAGTGTATGGTTTTACCAGGAACGGGGTACGAAGTACGTAGTGTATGGTTTTACCAGGAACGGGG